ACTGTGAACACTAACTATTGCCAATTAGCTTAACTAAAAAAAATTCGGAGACTAAGGTACAATAATTGGCCAATCGGATCCCTTTAAACCTTATTCATTAATGCCTAACTGAGAAAATCATCTGGAAAACAAGTTTAAAGATGTATAGTCGCCTGAGAATTAAAAAAAAAAACAAAAAACTTAAGAGCTAGTTTAAATCTGAAACGTAATACGGCTAATTAAAATTCAATTCCATCTATTTCGAACTATAACAAGGATTGTTGTGTAAAGGAAAAGGAAAGGGGTAAGAATGAGTCAATATGATTAATGTTTTCCATTACTGGAGAAATTACTACATAATTTTACATTAAGGGTCATTCTACTCTGTAAATATACAAACGTTATTTTCAATGCAAGTGTTTATACAGTGCCAGTGGCAGGTTGTTTTTACTTCTTATCATTGTGATTTATCTGAAGTCCGAAAACATTGACTTTTATGCTCCTTCCATAGCTAGAAGATAAAAGATAAGGGAATTATAGTTGGGAAGTGTGCTGCCTGTTGAAAACTTTTGTTGATTTGCGGGGATGGGGGTATTTTATTTTTGGGGGTATATTTTGTACTAGTATTTTAATATTACGTCACCACATTTACATTTCTGCGTTATAAAGAAACGAAGTGTCACACTCACAGACGGTATAATTCTCTGCTCCTTTTCGGTGTATTTGTATTTCAAGAACGAACTTTTCCAGTTCTTGTGTTCTTGGATTAACTCAGATGCATTGGGAGGAGCGAATTAAGTAATCGGAATGTTGAGAGATAATCAGCAAACAAGAGCTATGATGGATCCATGACACATGACAAGGTCTAAAATTGCTCAAATATCCGATGATATATTTGAAAATTCCGGTATTTGTTATAGCATTTGCATGGCATTTCGTGATCAGAATTATTCCAATCAGATACAGAAATATGTGTCATACAACATCATTTCATTTCGAATATAAGGGCTATACATTTCCGTGTTGTCGAGATTGCTGACAGAGAGTTTCCAATGGTATATAAAAAGATAGCTTGCCAGACAAGGTAACATACGCCCACTACCAGCTGTCAGAAATGATAGCAAAGTCTTTAGTGACTTAATGAACTTTTATTGATTGAAATATTCTTAAAAAAAGTCAAGACAAAACCTCAAGATCGGTTAAAAACTGTAGCCTCTGTCGTGTTTACAAGCCAAATTTGGCGAGTATTTACAACGTCAATGGCAATAACTCTGAAACCGATCATTCGATTGTTACCATTTTCTATATAAATGCATACCAAGTTTCATCAAGATCGAATAAAAACTGTAGCCTCTATCGTGCATACAAGAAATGTGGACGGACGGACGTACGGACAGGGGCGACAAATTCGTCTACATTCATATGGGCGTATAAAACAAGTTGAAATTGACTGGAGTTTAATTCATTCATTAACAAAATATCACAATTGATGCATATAATCTAACAATAAACCCAAATAGCTAGCATCCATATCACATGCAAGCAATAATAAACAGCGAGTAAAATTATGAACATAAACATCTAGTCCCAAACTTGCTGACAAACGTCTAAAAGCTATTTTGACAGTCTGACACATACATGTTTCTCTTCCTGAATAGTTATCTTGATTGGCTGACACTGATGTATCTAGTCTTAAATAGCCAATACTCAGCTAATATTATAAGCCGACACTAAGAAATATCTTGTTCCCAATAGCTTTTTTGATAAGCTGACACAATCATGTGTCTTGTTTCCAATAGCTCTTTTGACAGTCTGACACTTTCCCATCTGCAATAGCTATTTTACTTACACGTTTGATCTACCTTAATATATAAGCTGACACTTACATGTACATAGTTTCCAAAGCTATTTTGATAAGCTGACACATGCTTCTATTCTCAAAAGCTGTTTTGATTGGCTGACAACTATCCAGTTCCCAATGACTACGATAGTCTAACACACATGTATCTAGTGCCCATTCTGAATAGCTGATACGTCATGTATCTTATCATCAACAGACACTGAGATACCAAAGCTATTTTGATAGTCTGACATGTATATCATTCTTAAGGACTATTGGATAGTTACAAAGTCAGCAAGTTTTAGACTAATATAACTCATGAACAGTGGTTTAATGAAAAACAATTCAACAATATCAACAAAACTTTGCAAGGTGACAAAATAGTTGTCTTTTTTTACAAAAACTTGCAATAAAGTTTGGTAACCTCTACGATGCCAAGACAAAGGAACCAAGAGAATGCCAAAGCATTTTTACAAGACCTTGAAGACCTGCAGTAATTTACAGCATAACCGTTCTGTGGATCAATTGCACAAAAACTTACATTAAAAACGTTTTTTTTTTGTGAAATTAGCCCCAAATGTAAATAGGTAAATTCAAATCACCCTGTCATATGTTTTAAAAAGCAAATACATGTATATTGATAAGCTGACATCTGCATGTAAGGCTTATTCAATTGCTAACTTGATAAGCTGACACCATTGATCAGTGGCTGACACAAGCATATCCAGAAATCAATGGCAATCTTGATAGTCTGACAAATTTAGCATGATTGAAGCACTCCTGTAAGATAGGTATACACTGTTTGTTGAAGTTAGAATAATATTGCACCATAAGAAGTTACATGTATACAGCCCCATCGTCAGGAATAAATTGGTGTTGGGGCTCAGATTTTGTACTCAGAAAATTTGAAGAATTAAAGGCTCAGAGAATCCATTTCTGACATTTTTGAGGTGCCAAAAACGTATCAAAATCTATATCTTTTTGATTTTGTACAAAGACACTATTAATGAATCAATTTCTGCTGACTTAATTCTCACTTGTTGGGGCCCAGCCCCCACCCTAACGACGACGGGGCTGCACGTATATTGTGAAAAACACAAAGGCAAGATAGATACTTCCATGACAGTAGTTAAATAATATCATTAGTTGCACATTAGTGAGAGGTTATATTGATTCAAGGGAAGCAACTTAGTTAGTTTGAGATCTCTTCACTGTACATAACCATACTAAATTTCATTAGTAATTGTAACAAACGACCAGGAATAATTCGATTCCAATTATTTCGAGCATAACCAATCATTAGAAATACCTAAAAGTAACCATTAAACTAGCTGAATCTTGCATATTTTTGTCAAGTCAAGGACAATAACTCAAAGAAATCTTACCAGAATATTGTCATATTTCAACATATCCGAGATCTCAAAAACAACATAGGCTTAAAGTTCTATATCTGATAAAGACTGTGTGAATACATTAGAATCACTAAAATTATGACTCAACTTAAATATTTTAAGATTTTTCCCAATTTCGATAGGGATCATCTTAGACCGACAATAAAAAATTCTTAGTCATGGATCAATGGATGGAAATGAGTTGCAACAACAAAATTTTATGAAAAAAATGTAGGCTTAGGCTTGTGTTATATATTATAAGACACTCTACATTAAAGCTGTTTTGAAAAATACCATGAACCACATAAGCACATCTTGCACTACAGTAAATCCAAAGCATCTTTCTTAAAGAAGGTAATACTTGTTTTCTTTGTAACCTTTGATCCTTTGAGCCAATGTTCTTGTTGCAAAGTTTAATTGGTTGATGTAGCAGTGATCAACCAATCAAAATCAACCTTACAATATACAATTTTAATTGATATTCTTCTCTTCATCCAGCAACCATAAGGTTATAAGAGGATGATTTTAAAGGGACAGGTGTGCCATTTTGGGACGTTGATTTTAGGGTTGACAACATGTAAATTGTCTTCAGAAGTACTAGAAATGTACCTAAATCACATAATTCCTTTGAAAATATCTCAAACTAGGAATTTTAATCACTATTTCTATATAATGTCTTTTCTATATATCACAGAGTATCTTAAATTGATGAGTCGTCATTTTATCATTAAACTGCAGATAATTCTGGACACACATTGATTTGAAGGCTCAAATTTCGACGGTGAGCTGTGAAAACTATTACTTATTTGCTTAGTTAAAAAATTCCCCTTTCTGAGACTAAAACTTAATTGGTCAAAACAAATGGCGCACCTGTCCCTTTAAAACTTTGCAATCAATAATAAGAGGTCAAAATTCATAATAAAGTAAGTTGCACACCTCAGTCTTTATAAGGAGCTTGCTGAACCATACTCATAATTCCTTTAGATCTCTGTTAGATGAATCAATTGGTTTCAATGTATTAACACAGAAAATTCTAGATCTTTCATAAAGGTAGATAACTGACAAATAGCAGTTTATTTTTTTGCCATCTGCTACTGCTTTCTGTTGAAGACTAGAGGCTTGCTTTTATTTTCAAAATTTGTTGTACATGTAAAAGTTTGCAATTTTATTGCACACTTATGACAAATATTAATCAGTCATCTGATTGGTCAATCACTCAAATTGATTTGAGGTATCAACCAATCAGATACTGTATTACTTTGAATCTTAATTGTGGTTAACATTTTGAAAACTTGATTGCTGATTCTTCAGACCTCTAATGTGTTTAATTATGGCAAACGGGATAACTTCAATGTTTCAGTCATCTGATTGGTCAATTTAGTTGTATCAACCAATAAAATTACTGTATTTCTTTAATTCGGGCTTTAATTGTAGTTACTTTTTAAAAACTAGGTCATCGATTCTTTTGGACCTCTACTGTCTTTAAATATGGCAATTGTTTCAATGTTTCAGTCATCTGATTGGTCAATTTATCAACCAATCAAATTACTGTATTTCTTAAACTCAGGATTTAATCTAAGACCTTTTGAAAACTAGCTCGTCATTTCTTTGGAATCTAATATCTTTAATTATGGCAATCGTTTCAATGTTTCAGTTTTCTGATTGGTCAATTTAGTTGTCTCAACCAATCAAATTACTGTATTTCTTAAAGTCGGGATTTAATCATAGTTACTTTTTGAAAAAGCAACCACTGATTTTTTCAATTTCACTTAATAGATAATTTAATTTGACTAGTAAAATTCTTCCATTAAATCAGGTGAACCTTCATCACTAAAATCTTCTTCATGACCAATAGGATGAAACTCTGTTATCTCTAGACTTAAGCGATGAATTTGATCCAAGGTGTGGTCACTAGTAGTAGGAAATAACACAGAATCAACAGCTGAAATATAAGACATAGTAAAACACATTATTATCAATCTGCAACTGCAAGCTTAAAACAGATTATCGTGTACACAAATAGCTGAAAGTTGGACAAAGTTGGTGTCTGGGTGGTTTCAAAATACACTTTGAAAGTTTGGTAGTTTTTTCAAAATTTGCCTCCATTATACTACAGCCTTTTTTTTGGTTCATTATGATGCAGGAGCAAAATAATCTGCAGATAAATTTGATTCAATGTATATGCCAAATCAGGCTTAATGATTTTATCCCAACTGGCCAGTTATTTCCCCAAGCTTACCATTCTGACAGACAAAGGATATTTAAATTGTAGCTTACCTTGCATTTGATGCTTGATTCTTCTTAGATTCTTCAAGATGCTAATGAGTTCATTATTAGCTGTTTTCCAGGCTGGGAATTGACTTTTTTCTGGTTCTTCAAGGAAATCATCAATAGGTGATGGTGTGACTGAGATTTTATCTTCATCTTTAAGTTTCTCTACTGTTTTATCTAGTTGAGATTTTAACTGTAGTGATAGTTGGTAGATTGACGATACCAATAATGGATTATATGACTAAAAAATACCATAAAAATATAATAAGTTACTAAAAAAAGTTCCTATCAGTACATGGTTGGTGGATGGAACAATAAAATAGTATTCTGGATCTCAATTGTTCCAATGTTACAGCCCCTCAAAGTTTGGAGTATTTTTGAAGTAAAATTGATCAGTTTTTCAGCTCTACTTTTTCACAAAAAAACAACTTAAAAGGAGAGGTGTGCATTTTTATTTGACAAAATATACTTAAGTCTCAGAAATGGAATTTTTCATCTAAACCAATGTTCACAGCTCAGTCAAAAGTTGAGCCTTCAATTCCATGTGTGAAGAAAATTATCAACGTTTGGATCTTATAATGATGACTCATCATTTTAAGATACTCTGTGATATATAGAAAAGATACATAGAAATAGTGAATTTAAAGTCCAGGAATAATGCGATTTTCGTATATTTCTAGTACTTCTGAAGACTATTTACATATATTCAAGCCTAAAAAATCAACCACCCAAAATGGTCGCACCTGTCCCATTAAATGACATCATAATGCTAAAAACTATATGCTTAGGGTATTGATACTTCACTTGATGTAGGTCAGATAATTTGTTTTGATAGAACAGAAGATGATTTTGCAGAGTTTCGAATGTTGCAGAACTGACTCCTACAAACCTCAGTGCGGTGTAATCCATTTTGTTGAACATCTTGATCTGGCACTGTATCAAATGTACTGCGTCTAATTCTCAAGGAAGCTGAACGCTGCAGAGGTGACATATTTCTCAGATCTTTGGGTGAAGGAGTTGAAAAGGCTGATTTATGCATACAACTCCTACTTAGTTCCTACAATTATAACATGAATATGATTGTAAAAGTTGGTGAACCACTAAAAATGTACAAAACCTGTGGTCCTATGTGTACAACACAAACAGTAGCTGAAAGCTTACATCAGCCCACATCTGCAATTTTAATTGAAGCTATGGTTGATCTTGATCAATTCAAGGGCTAACATTGATGAAATAAGATTTAATCAAATGTAGTATTTAGTCAAAGGCATTTGTATTGAAATGTCTAAATGATTTGTGGTCTGAGATGTACGTAACTAAATAAGTGGTGGTCTGATCCTTAAGGGAGATAACTCTTTATATTACTTGTTAAGACTTCCGGTCCACGCTAGTATGTGAAAAGATTGTAGGATTTTCTATGTATATTTTCTCGAGTAAAGCAACTATATTTTAAACAACAACGAGTTTAGTCTCTTTTATAACAGCATTCACAAGTCAAGGGCAATAACTGTAGTCTCTATCCACACAAGCAGTGACAAAAATAATGGGTAGTACTTGATTGGAGAGGTCTGAACAGTTCCATCTGTTCCAATTCTGCATTTTCTCAATTTTGTCTGCACTTACTCTGTTTCAACTTATTTTTTTGATTGGTTGATTCCATGAATCCAGAACTCACCAATCAAGCGACCCCTAGAACTCATACATACCTTCATTGATCCTAGCCCACAAAGTTCTTCTGAATTGGAACAAGATGATGACCGTACAAGATTACTGGTACTTTTAGTAGTCTCCACTGCTACCGACTGAGATTGTTTGACTAATTTCTTCGACTTCTCCTTGGCTTGACTCACAGCTTTTCTGGGATCGTATTCCATTCGTCTTTTCCAGGACAATGTTTTTGGAGAATTGTTCCTGCTGGCTGGTGTGGATTGACTCTTACTACCACCAGACTTCTTACCAGATTCCCCAATACTTGTTCTTTTCAGCTCCTTTTTCAGGTTGCTCAGATGTGTACTAAGCTGTGTAGTCTTGGCTTTAGCTCTAGGAGGTCGAGATGTTGAAGATGCTGATGATCTTTCAGTTTTGGGTTCTGACCTACGAGATACTGGTGGACTAGCTGAAGCTACTGATGAGGTTGATTTCCGTCTGCTTGAACCCTCTGTGGCATTTGAGCGTCTGAGTTCAAAGGCTCTATTTGGTCTGGTTGAAGACACAAAAGGCTTTTTGGTAGAAGTAGTTGATGCCACAGGAGAATGTTTTGGAGACTGTTTAGAGGTTGGAACTCTTGGAGAATGCTTGGCACTGTGTTCAGAAACATTATTTAAAGAATCAGATAAAGGTGATGACTGAGAGAGTAAACTAGTAGAATGATTAGTAGGTATTGGTGGTAGGCGTCTGCCTGTACCAGGCTTTCTTTTGGTACCATTGTCAACTGGTGATCTGCTACTAACTGAAATTAAAAGTAAATCATTTTATCTAAAATCATTGCAGGTTAAACAAAAATAAGTTTTAAAAAAAAATTTTCATATACCTAAAAGTAATCATTTACTAATTATAAACTTTCATTGTACCAATTTCCAAAATACCCTATAAACTTAATCTGCTCTTTTTTTATAATTTTGTGGCAGTTTTTAAAGCAAATCTTGCCAGCTTCTATGAAAAAAAATATCACAAGCCATTTCTTATGGAAAGTTACTATTGTAAGTTTGGAAATGATACAACTGGAATAAACAAAAGACTTTCAACTGCTTAGCAGATTCTTTAGGTCTTCTCGTAATAAAAAATGTGCCTATAAAGAATTCGTATTTAAGAAAGCTTACAGCTAGTATCCAATGAAGGACTGACTGTATGACTAGACTGTTGTAGATTTTGATTGGTTAAAGCTACAAGTTGTGACATCCATAAAGGAACATCACCACCATGTTGTATAGCCATTGCTTTTAACTCCTGAAAATAAACATGGAAGCATTTTTTATTATTGGTGAAGTTTCATCCAATTTAGTTTCCATTCAACAAAAGATAAGACTTCTGGTGATGATAAGATTCTCTCTTACATGTAATGGGAAATAGGCGCTCTATTTCATTTGTTTCAATGCGGTACTGACCTTTGTTTCAATTGCAGTACTGACCTTTGTTTCAATTGCAGTACTGACCTTTGTTTCAATTGCAGTACTGACCTTTGTTTCAAGTGTAGTACTGACCTTTGCTAAGGACTGCTCCTGTTTCTGCTTTGAATCAGAGCAGATGAGCAGAAATATCGTTGCTCAACTAAAGATGCATATCAAAGTGACAAGAAAGCAATCAAAGCTACCACATACCTCAAAATCCACATATTGTTTGGTAGCGTCGGAGTCATCGGGTTGATCAAAGGTGAAACTGCGTCGCTTGAGGTCGTCAGTAGGTGTACAGGTACTGTCGTCAGAGAGATTACCAGTATTATATACCTCATCTTGTAGGGACATGTCTCTTACAGCTTGGTTTAGTTCACTGACACCAAACACCTCATCTATTCTCTGTCTAGCTTCTTCTTCTTCATTACATTCTTCTTCATCATCAATAGTATAGGTACCAGAGTTACTTACATTATCATCTGGTAAACTCAGCTGACTTTTTAGTGGTGCAGCTAAATATTAAAAAAAAAATACAATTAGTTTTTACTTTCAGGTTCAAAATTGTGTTACTTAAAACAGGCAATACTATGTAATGGCTACTGAGGTAAATTTTTCAAGATAACAGCATCTATTTTCCAAGATAACAGCATCAGTTTTCTAAGATAAGAGCATCAGTTTTCCAAGATAACAGCATAAGTTTTCTAAGATAACAGCATCTATTTTCCAAGATAACAGCATCATTTTTCCAAGATAACAGCATCATTTTTCCAAGATAACAGCATCAGTTTTCCAAGATAAAAGCATCAGTTTTCCAAGATAACAGCATCAGTTTTCCAAGATAACAGCATCAGTTTTCCAAGACAACAGCATCAGTTTCCAAGATAACAGCATCAGTTTTCCAAGATAAAAGCATCAGTTTTCCAAGATAAAAGCATCAGTTTTCCAAGATAACAGCATCAGTTTTCCAGGATAAAAGCATCAGTTTTCCAAGATAACAGCATCAGTTTCCAAGATAACAGCATCAGTTTTCCAAGATAACAGCATCAGTTAAACACTTTTACAGATTGGAGGAATCTTTAACATGAACAGATGAAAAACAGCAAAAGACCAAACTCCTGAGCCATATCAGCTCTCAGATGATCTTTTCAAGGTAATAAGGCTCTCACATACAAATTAACAAATGTTTTTAAGCGAAAGAAACCATGTTTGAATATCTTCATATAACATTATCAGCTTACCTTCATGTTGAGTCATAGTTTGTTGTTGTATTATTTCTGTACCTTCAAATAATTTCTCCATTAAATAAGATTTACCATCTTTAATTTGGGATGTTTCTGGGCTGGTTCTATATTCTTCTGTTACTCTAGGCTGTTTTACAGTCACTACAATTAAAATAGAAAATTTACATTAATGGAAGGAAAATGAATTGGAAGTTCTATCTTCTACAGTCCTGTATCTTGATGAGCTAACAAAATTATTTGCAATGGACATATCCCACATATCCGAACCTTGATGAAGACGCAGAAGATGGGTTATTAGGAAAAAAGGTTTCTCGCTATTTGTTCCCAAAAGACTCGGTCTTGGTCTTACTAACATTACTGTCCAAAAATTTTCAAATCGCACTGCAATCAGCACACAAGGTTTATAAGCCTAAGCACATATCATAGCCTCACATACACTGATAGACATAAAAAAGGGGGGGGGGGGGGGGGGAAGACGAAGATAAGATTAGGAACAATCTTTACCTTTAGGTTTAGCAACAGAACTTGGTGAAGATGGTTTAGCTTTAGCTTTAGAAGATGATGTTTCTGAGTCCTAAAATGAATTCAGAAATAGGATATCAGTCTGATATATTTAAACATTGACTATAACAGATAACAAACATTGCTTCTGGACTATCTTATTTGATATTTCAACACGAATTTGAGATTGAATACAAACTTTCATACAAAACAGAAAGATTTCATCTGAGATTACCATTCGTATCTACGTCAACCATTCTCGCTACGCCTGACAATAACCTTGTGTGCAAATGGAAGAAAACCTTTAATTGTTAGGCGGAAGTTACCTCTGCGTTACAAAATATAGTTCATCAGATGTTAGTTATCTCCCTTGGAGACTTTATCCTCAGATAGGAGGTGTCAGTGTCAGTGTCAGTGTCTGGGTGTCAGAAACTAGTCAGATATCAACAATGGAGGACGAAAGCAGTCCAATTTATCCGCCTGCTGCATATGAGGTTATTGTCAGGCGTAGTGAGAATGGCTGACATAGATACGAATGCTGAGATTACTTCAACTTTCACTTTCAATTAAAGGGGAATAACTAAAGTATATTACTTACAAAGGATTTCCTTTGACTCTGTACTAATAGTTTCTTCCTTTTATCCACACCAACTTTACTACTGTTACCGGTACTTTTACTACTCTTAGTAGATGCCACAGATTCCTGAATATAGACCAGAAATTTTGTTTTCATTGCCATGAGCAAATATATATCCCTAACAGCAAATCAAGTTTTTGAAATTTATACTACCGGTAGGACAAATTTTGTAGGAAAAACTGCACATACTTACTTCTGAAACACTTGATGCCATCCTATGACTTGGTTTGTCAACTTTTCTAAGGCTTTGAAGAAAGGACAATTGAAAACTGTATTAGCACATTGTTAAATTTTGTTTTTAACACACAGTTAGCCACATCAAAAATATTGAGTACTTACAGGGGACTTTGAAAGTCTTCTTAATTTCTTTCCTGTACTTGTATTTGGAATGTTCTTAGAACTGGATAGTCTTTTTTCTTTGTCCGATTCCTACACGAAAAAAAAAAAACCAAAGGGTCACAAAGGGTATTGTGTTGGTTGATCCCAACATGCTTATCCTTGCAGTATATACCTAAAGACAATCTTAAAGGGGAACATTAGGAATTTTCAGGGATTGATTTGTGCTTTAATAGTCTTAAGAAGTACTAAAACACAAGAAAATCACATAATCCCTTCAAATATACCTCAAACTAGAAATTTCACTGTCTATTCCTATATATGTGTTTTCTATATATGTTTTTTCTATATATGGCATAGTCTCATTAAAATTTAAGTCTAATATTTAACTTCAAACGTGAATAATTATGGATACACATGGATTTGAAGGCTCAAATTTCGATGATGAGCTGTGAACACTAGTACTGATTATGTAAGCTAACAAAAATTCCTGTTTCTGAAACTAAGGTATGATTGGTCAAATGGATAGTGAAGGTGCTCTTGGATTTGAAAATTTATCTTTTAAAGATTGATATATTATACAGAACAGCTTAGAACCTTGTATATGCCATATTTGGTCATTTTGACTTTTTGGTAAAGCACAAATCTTGTGATCAAAACCTCATATTCTTAGCTTGATTGTAAATAACTCAAAAACCACCAATTAAATAACACGTATATAAACAGTCAGATTTAAAACCTCGTAAAATATTATATTATATATTATGTTCCTTTTTCAGTGGATGAAAACGAAAAACCTTGTATATTGTATTATTATACAAGTTATTGGTTGAATAGGTCGAAGATCTCAAATTGTTATACAAAGTTTAAATTTTCAAAGAATGAAGACCATGTATAGTGGTAAAAAAATCATAATAAAAAAGAAAAAAAAAGAAAATCGAAAAGTAATTTTGCGTCATATATCTTTATATGAGGTTTCAAGCGGTCACCCACGATATAATGAATTTTTAAAAGTTATAGCCAGACTTACAGGAGTGGATGAATGTTTTCTGGTATCACTACTAGTGCTTGATTTATTTCTCTTAACTTTATAAGTTCTAGAATCATATTCCTGCAGAAACAAATCAGAACAAAAATCTAAGATAAATTAAAGGCTAAATTCCATTCTGGAGCTAAATATTTTCAATAAATATGTGTATCAGGGACAATGATAGCATCAATTTGAACTGTTTAAATTTCCAGTCAGAAGTCTGCGGTTCTTGCAATTTTTTTAGGGGGATTGCAAGACCCACAGAGGTCTGTCTGAAAATCAATTTAATCGGGGTCCCCAAGGCACACTAAAAGTTCTGAAAACCTTTTTACAATCCCTTTTAATTTTGGGAACAATGTTAGTTTTATGAATTTTCTAGATGTTACAGGGATTCTGTTTATGACACCAGGTAAGTTCACTGATGAATATATACTCATATTGACCATTCTTGAGAACTTAAATTTTATGTTCATTCTAAGATGTAGTATAATAAAAAAAAACAAAGAGAATCGTATAAACTTACAGTTGATTGTCTCCTAGTGTCAGTTTTTTTACTTGTCTGTGTTTTTAAAGGTTTGTTCTGTGTGGGTTTTGTTTCTGAGCTCTACAATATAAAATAACAACTATTCAACAATTCAACATTAAAATATGTCATGCAAAACCAAAATGGAGAAATTGAACGTGTGGGTCTCAAATGAATTACTATTTTTTTCTAGGCCAAATTTTAGAAGCAATGGCCATGGCATCAGAATTTTTCTTACCATGAGAAGGGTGGTAAGGTCAAATACATTACATGGGAACCTAATAAAATTTGAATCACCTACGTTGGCAAAATTTGGGTTCATGGGTTATATATCAGGTCCCTTTTACAAAGTAAAACCACCGATCTAACAAACTTAATATTGATATTGATCATATTCGAAACATATATGCATATAAACATGTACCAAGTCTAAAACCAATTCAAAACAGCACAAGTTTTTACTGGATCTTTGATTCTTCAATGTACATACCTTAGATTCCTGTGTTTTAACACCATTTGATAATCTTTTAGAACTTCTTAAAGGAGTTCTTTCCTGCAATAAAATAAATATTTATAAGTAAACAAATTTTTCCAAAAACCCTTCAGCATAATGAGGTCTTTAAATCATGCCTCCACTAGAGCTTTCAACTTAAGACTCCATTGGACCCCCGAAACCATTGCTATTCCAAACATGAAATATGGAGCTTAAGCTAGATTACTTGAAACACAAGTTGCATTAAACAGACCCAATCCTATCAGAAGTCTCAAATACTTACCAAATTTTTAGCACTTTCTTTACTACTAGGAGTTGTTTTCTTAGCAGAATCAGCTTCCTATTGCAATAAAAAACAAAAACAATGAATAACTCATTAAAAAAAACACTCAAATTTTTAATAATTTTTGCTCTGAATTCTAAATTATGCTGATTAACAAATGATATATACAGATTTTACCGAAAAATTCTTAATTTTTAAGAATAAACGAGGCTTAACTCCATGGACTAGTTCTTAAAGGCATACAGTTGTCAAAATATGCTGTTAAAAAGTGGGTTTTTATTGAATTTAAGGAGAACTGGATGTCAGATTTTAATTCTGAAAAGTGATATGGTTATCTGAAATTGAGCTCAATCAGCTTAAAAAGCAATTATCTAGATGAATGTATGCCTTTAATTTACTATGATCAAGTCAAATATTCACTTACCGGTGACTTAGCTTTTTTCCTAGCTTCTAATTTCTCTCTCAGTTTTGATGGTATATGGTCACTCAAATTCAGGTCTTTTTTCACTTTCTTATCTTCATCAAAATCAATAGTAAACACTGTAGCTGCTGTTGGTTTCTCCATTACCTTAGGTTTCTCTTCCTCTACAGTATCACATTGTTCTTCTTGCTGTACTACATTCTTATTTTCATCTGAAAAAAAAAAAAAAAATGATATTTGGCCATTATGATTTTTGTTTATTTTTAGCATTCTTGCCATTAATTTCAATAAAATAAAAGGGCATGGCAATATAATGCAGTGTTCAATGAGGGAAATTTTGCCTGGTTAAAATATATTTAAGCCACCTTCTAATTTCAAACTGTTTTAAAACACGTGGCAGGAAGGGTATGCTTACTCTTCTAAACACCTGGTACCACTTTTCATTAAGAAATTTTTTCTCATTTATGATCAATACACTTGTGTGAAAAGTTCATTAGTTGCAAGCAATGAATTGCCAACATGTTGTTTTGGATTTCTAATTTTGTTTTGTGTGTTATGTTTCAAAACAAATGGAAACACCATAACAGCTGAATTCAGACATCAAATTCTCTGATTTAGATGAAGACATTAAAATTCAATTCTCGGTCAAATTACATTAAAAAAAAACATGAAATCTCTGAAAAAAATTCATAATTTTAAGCTTATCTAAAATAGCTTATCAAATACTGTGAATATTCTGTGTGATTTGGGTCCTGATCAATTTGTCAGTGGATTGACTAAGTTAGTACTGAGTTGGATAGTTGTTTGCTGGGCAAAACAATGCCATGAGTTCAAATCTTCAAGGTACACAAAATTCTAGAACCACAGCCAGTGCTTCTGAGAGTCAGCCTTGTGTCTACTTTCACCCTCAAATACCTGATCACTGGTAAATATTGACTTTCTGAGTACAACAGTTAACTTATAAACAGTCAGTTTGAAGCTAAAAAATTCTCAATTATTAAAAAAAACCTTGCAAACCTTAGATTCAATCCCTATAACTACACCTAAATGATTTGATATTGCATACTTCTAATACCCATTATAATAATATTAACTATTTAAACAGTATGCAAGAAAGTATCCATTATTAATGAAAGTTACTATTATAAGAAGTTAAGAGAGCTGAAGATCTATTGTCTATATACAAACAATGTATTATACACATTACAATACAGGTGTAGAGTATATTAACATAATTTCCCTATATACTATACAATACATTCTTTATCTTCTGTATTTTTTTAGTTGTAAATATGTACATATTTATCAATGGTAGATGAATTTTCCTTTAAAACTCTTTTTTTTTGTATATCTTATTGATATTCAAGACCCAATTTTAAAGGCAAGGTGGTCTTGGAGCAGTTCTCAGAACGGAACAGATGGAATTTGGTACCAATAGTGTAAACACTATCTGTTCCGAAAAAGTTTCCCTTGCATGCTTTTTGACGCATTGCCCTTTTTTCGCAATGTGTCTGCGATCAGCAGAGCTTTTACACCGTTATCATGGATTTTTTCAAGTAATTATGATAGGCAAGTGAGGTAAACGGTTTAAAACTTTTGTGATTTTATCATGTCCTGGTCTAATCTGACTAGAGAACATCGTAGTGGCCGAAAGAAAACCTGGCTCACTTCTAATTCTACAAGTCATAACAAACCAGGATGTTCTATTTTCTCTAATTCCAAATTTACAACCTCCAAAGTTGAAGTAGTTCATAAGGTTAAACTGACATATAGCGCCATTAGTGTCAGAAAGTCTAATAATACTTCTAAACAATACATTAACGGTACCAGACAAAGATAAATCAGTAAGTCTTGAATTCCACAATCCAAAAAAATACAAGACTTATTCCTGCCTCTATATTACATTCAAACACAGAAATCAGAACTTAAAGAAAAAGAATTATGGAATTATCATCCATCACTAACTACTTTGTTATTTACAGGCGATTCCAATATTGGATCTTAGCCATTTTGGCTTTTGAACACAAAAACAAGCCAGTACCAAAATTATCATGGAAAAAATTTACTTACAATAATGAAAAGTAAAAGCTGGATTTGACATAGAACTGATAAGAGAAATTCAATTCGGTGAAAACAGACAGTAAATATAAAAACCTTGAGAATTGAATTTGTTTGGAGTCTACCATGACGTAATTTGACAATTTGCCCAAAATTAGGATGCTGATGTAATTGTTGATCAAATTAACATAACAGATTTATTTCTATCTTTTATCTACTTAGATACTTGTAGAAATCCATGATCGAAATGATCATTCTTAATATTAGACATTGAGAATTCATTTTTGATTAGTATTTCTTAGAATTGATAATTCATTTTAAATGTGTAATTTCTTAGAATTGAGTATTCATCTATAAATGTGTAATTTCTTATAATTGAGTATTCATCTATAAATATGTAATTTCTTATAATTGAGTATTCATCTATAAATGTGTAATTTCTTAGAATTGAGAATTCATCTATAAATGTGTAATTTCTTATAATTGAGTATTCATCTATAAATGTGTAATTTCTTAGAATTGAGTATTCATCTATAAATGTGTAATTTCTTAGAATTGAGTATTCATCTATAAATGTGTAATTTCTTATAATTGAGTATTCATCTATAAATGTGTAATTTCTTAGAATTGAGTATTCATCTATAAATGTGTAATTTCTTATAATTGAGTATTCATCTAAAATGTGTAATTTCTTATAATTGAGTATTCATCTATAAATGTGTAATTTCTTAGAATTGAGTATTCATCTATAAATGTGTAATTTCTTATAATTGAGTATTCATCTATAAATGTGTAATTTCTTAGAATTGAGTATTCATCTATAAATGTGTAATTTCTTATAATTGAGTATTCATCTATAAATGTGTAATTTCTTAGAATTGAGAATTCATCGATAAATGTGTAATTTCTTATAATTGAGTATTCATCTATAAATGTGTAATTTCTTATAATTGAGTATTCATCTATAAATGTGTAATTTCTTAGAATTGAGAATTCATTTTTGATTAGTATTTTTTAGAATTGAGAATTCATTCTAAAATTGTAATTTCTTAGAATTGAGAATTCATTTTAAATGTGTAATTTCTTATAATTGAGTATTCATCTATAAATGTGTAATTTCTTAGAATTGAGAATTCATTTTTGATTAGTATTTTTTAGAATTGAGAATTCATTCTAAAATTGTAATTTCTTAGAATTGAGAATTCATTCTAACATTGTAATTTCTTATAATTGTAATTTCTTAGAATTGAGAATTCATTCTAAAATTGTAATTTCTTAGAATTGAGAATTCATTAAAAAAATTGTAATTTCTTAGAATTGCGAATTCATTTTAAAAGTGTAATTTTCTTAGAATTGAGAATTCATTTTAAAAATTGTAATTTTTTAGAATTGAGAATTCATTTCAAAATTGTAATTTCTTAGAATTGAGAATTCATTTTAAAAGTGTAATGTCTTTTCTATAATGGCTTAGAATTAAGAATTCATTTTAAAATAGTTCAATGAAACACACAGGATTCATTTCTAGACATTGAGAATTCATTCTAAAATTATTGTTTTTAACTACCATTATTGTTCGTTACCCATCATAATGAATAATTAATTCAATATTCAAAATTAAACCGAAAATCTTTCATATATAAGCTTAATTATCAATTTGAGAATATATAATAAATCATATTTTTTATATTGAGAATAGATCACAAAAGTCTCACTTGAAGTCGATAATTCATTCTAATCTTGGGCATTGTTTACTTAATTTGACTTTTAACAACCAAAAAACATGACATACTACCAACAAATTTCTGTGATGAAAACTTTTTACTCACAAATAAGTAAATACTCGAACAGACAATATCAGTAGAAATTCAGTAAAAAGTCATCATGAAAAACTTATTATTCTTTTAAGATTTCAAAACCTATTAAATGGAATGTATGGTATTTACCTTGATCTTATTAAACCTCAATTTATGATCATAACTGTGTTAGGTTATCTGATCCTATGTCATTACCGGCCGGCCTTGTTATATACTGTTTAAAGGATAATAGGCAAGAAATGTAAGTACAGAAATACTGTGATATATACATTGTATACAGCAGGGCAATATATGTGTCAACATATATTTTAAAAAATTGAAATTTTTTGATTTTCTGATTTAGCATGAATTTTTTTTTTTTTTAAATAGTTTTTTTTTGGTGTGATTTTTGCATGAGTCTTTGCTTCAAATCTTCTAAACTAGAGCAAAATGTTTGGTCTAGTTTGATAATCTTATTGATTCATTATAATAATATAGTATGCCTGTTTAACTAAGTATGTGAAATCATTAATATTAGTGCACACAAAATCCTTCAAATATGCTTCTGGAGACCATTCTATGAAATTCGGTGTTCATGAAATTAGATAATTTCACAATGAACTCCCTCTATTTTAGGAACATTTTTAAAAAATCTTTCTGAGTGATCTTCTTTAAACATTTCTATAGGGGCGGGTGCATCATTTTAGAGGGTTTATTTTAGTCTTGAATATATGTAAATAGTCTTCAAAAGTACTAGAAATGTACCAAAATCGCATTATTCCTTTGAAAATACTTCAAACTAGGAATTCTGGACACACGTGGATTTGAAAGCACAAATTTCGATGGTGACCTGCGAACTCTATTACTGATTGGCTTAGTGAAAAAATTCCCCTTTTTGAGACTAAAGTATGATTGGTCAAAAATAATGGTACATCTGTCCCTTTAATGTTAAATAATTTTAAGTTAGAACTTGTGCTCTATAGAATTAGAATCTGAATTATTTCACATGAAGTTATTCACCTTAGTACATAATCTTTGATTTAAAAATAACATGTCTGCTAAAACCTGTTTTTGACATATTTGAAGATTCAGAAAGTTTTATCAGAATATTATATCTTAGAACAAGCTGAAGGGATGCAGACCTCATTATCTAGACTGTTTCTTTTCCAAAATTTTCTTTAACTTTATTTTATAATGCCCTGGTTACAACCAAAATGGTCAAATTTCCTCCATTTATAGGTCTTCCAATTATTGTCATTCTTATTTCAAATCCAAATATTCTTATTGAGTTTCATGTGTTTTTTTTTTTGAAGGAATAAAATGTATTTCTGCACTTTCTCCTACAAAATATTTCAACTTTAAAGTTATTCCACAAATTTAATCAAAAATGATCCAATGTAGCTACAGTAACCATTATTTTGGAATTAATTTGTTTGCCTTCGTCCCATAACACATGTATAACACACTTCCCACTTTTAAAGGGACAGATTGGCCATCTGTTTGACTAATTCACCTCAGTCTCAGAAATAAGCCAATCAGTAATTAGTGTTCACAGTTCACCATCGAAATTTGAGCCTTTGAAATTATGTGTTTCCAGAATTAATCCACATTTGAGAGTTAAAAAGACAAATTGTCTTTTCTAGAGACACTGTCATATATATGGAAATAGTAATTGAAATTCCTAGTTTGAGGTATTTCAGAATTTTTCTTGTACTTCTGAGGACTATTTACAAATATTCAAATAAAATAAAACGAAATAAATGGAATTTTACGTCCTACTTTTCTGCACCATGTGGGTTAATGAAGACTGCAATGCCATGCAGGGTGCAATGAGGGAAATTTTGCCAGGACAGCGGCATTAGCCTGCTCTTTTTCGATTTCCAACTGTCGAGGGATCTTTAACGTGCACAGCCTGTAGCACACGGGGCCTCGGTTTATTGTCCCATCCGAACGACTAGACGCTTTTTCCATGTCAGCCCCTCTTACCTGCATCACTGACAGGGGGAAACCGGGTTGAAAAATCCGAAGGTATTATCTTGACCTATGTCAGGATTAAACCCTGGACCTTCAGGTTAGCGAGCAAGCGTGTAACTCACTGAGCCACCTAGGCTCCACTACAAATATTCAAGACCCAAATCAAATTAGAGAATCTGTCCCTTTAAGCAATATCCCTCTTCCATATATCTTATGTTCATAGTTCTGTTGTTAATTATACATCACATGTTAAAACCTCAAGGTTATATATACCTGGTATAAACAATGTAATGTACATAGTTGATTGTCTCTTTAAACAATATACATGTATCTAACTACCCTACTAGTATAGATCTATTATAGTCTACCCTAGTTTACCTTGGTATGTTAGTTTAGTTTTACACTACTATCTATAATAGCACTGAACCTTCAACTATAATCTACTAAACAATTCATCAGACTTCCTTCCCTATCACTTTCAATATTATCGCTAAAACTGTTTCCTTGGCCAGTGCTTATATGCACACCTTATTCTCATCATAGGCAAAAAAGCCAGTTTGGTTGGTCGATTGTCACTGTTTTGCAATTTAGCAGTACTTTTGTCAGTGCCTCAGTTAAAAATTCCATCCACAGGCTGATCAGAAAAAAATCTGGTGCCACCTCCAGTGCTTTCGAGAATCATCATAAATAACAAAACGCATACTGTCTTGCGTGTTGGATCTGTTTTTATTAATTCTTCTTTCTAAATCCCTGCTTAATAGCTCCCTCATTTTGGTAATCTTAGCACATGTTTGGCATGATCCAACTTGAAAATAGGTTGAACAATCGCATGCAAGGTGTTAAAAAAAAGTCCAAAAATATTTGATACAGTTTTGGAAATATTTTAAGCAGTTCAATTCGCCCTTGTAGCTTAAGTTTGAGAATAAAACAAAATTGTAGCCAATCATGGATCACTTGACTTTATGATCAGGAGTGAGGAATTGATTACTAATAAAGCTTATAATAGTATAGAAGGTCATCAATGTTTTAAACTGGTATTAAAAAGAAATTGAGATATAATCTTATATATTGTATGTAAGGCAGCTATTTTAAGACTATAAACAAGACAGCAGATCTTATAGCCTAGTATTATATATTATAACCTTACCTTGTATATCATTTAGATTAGAGTCTGTGTGGTTTACCAATATACCATCATTATTATTAGTACCTGCTGTACCATATTCTTCTCCTGTAATTAGAGTTGAAGACAGGAAGTTAGACTAGTGGGCATGCTCAGACACCATTGACATCTTCATTAACTACTTATTACTAGCTTAAAGATGCAATGCCATCTTCATGACCTTTCTGAATTTTTTAAAGAGGAATAGCCACTTAAGACCACTACTAGACTAGTTTAAAGATGCACTGCCAATTATCATCTTTGTGACTGATTTAATATGTTTAGAGATGATATGCCAATTACGAAGACTACTAGATTATTTTAAAGATACAATGCCCATTAACATCTTCATGACACATTGGATCTGTTTAAAGGTGAAATGCCAATTAAGACCATTACTTAACCAATTTAAAGATGCAATGCCACATAACATATTCATTTACTACTTAACATCACTTTATAAAACAAATTAAAGATGCAATGTCACTTATCATACTTTTTTGGACATATAATTCAAAATCCATTTCATTAATATTAATTGCATAATGCCAATGCTCAGCTACACTTTTTGAATCGAATTAAAGATGCAGTAACATATAGATTAAATTGCCTGATATGTTTAAAGATCTGTATCATTTAACACCTTTTTCAAATATAAATCTACCTGAAGACTAAAGATGCTATACTACTTAACATCAACTTTTCCATGTCAATACAATGTCACTTGAGAAGCAATACCAGTTCATCTTAATGAACAACTTTGTATCTCAATCAACTTTCACTTCAAACATCTACTTAATCTATTTCTAAGGATGCATTTCCCACTTCCCCTTTAGAAACTTTGTCAAGTACTTCGTCTGTTAAAAGTGTTCTTTGACACCAAAATAGGAGTCATATTTAAAGATCCAATGCCTTTATCTTTACAATAAATCAATTAAAGGGACAATGCCATCAACAAAACAAGATGATTTCTATATATCACAGAGTATCTTAAAATTACCAGTTGTCATTTTTACATTCTAACACAGATAATTCTGGACACACATGGATTTGAAGGCTCAAATTTCAATGGTGAGCTGTGAACACTATTACTGATTGGCTTTGCTAAAAAATTCACGTTTCTGAGAGTAAAGAACTATTGGTCAAAAAAATTCAAGGGTAATAAAAGAAGTCTTAGGTATGAAAGAAACTTATCAGGCTTACCTTCAATTTTAACTTTTCCATGAATATGTGATAATCCTGAAATATTGGCTGATCCTTCCTGTTTTAAATAAATATCATATTCATTGGTAGACTCGTTAAACGGAACTTTTGGTTTCCGTGCTTGACTAGATATAAACTCATCTTCATTTTCATCAGTAGTATCAAATGGTACGAAGAAATTAGTGGACACAGTAGTTGAGATGATTCTGTTTTCCACAACTGGTTCTCCTGCGTCTGCTTCAGATTCAGTAGCCTCTTTTTCATCGTCAAACCCAGCAAAAAACATGACTGGTTTGTTAAGAGTGGTGGCTGGTAGAATGTAATTTGGTGGTCCATCATGAAGGATTGGATTCTCATTATGGTTGTTGCAGGTTTCAACATGTCTCTCTGTTAACCCCTATTAATAAAAATAGAATGGCTATCATTAACACTCACACCTTTCCCAGATCTTTCCTTAGATAACTAATTAACATATCAGATAATACTTAGATTAGTGTAAAAAATCAGTCTTCTTTAAGAAGCCCTCCCACAGAGAAATAGAAATTTATCTTTGTTTTTTACGTAGATGCTTTAATATTCAATATAAGAATATGTAGCTTAAAGAGACCCTCACTTGTAGAAAAAAGAAATCAATCTCTTTGTATTTTTAAGTAGATGCTTTAATATTCAATATAAGAATATGTAGCTTAAAGAGACCCTCACTTGTGGAAAATAAAACTCTATCTCTTCATTATTTAAATAATTGCTTTAATATTCAATATAAAAATATATAGCCTAAAGAGGTCTTCCCACATACAAAACGTTTTTAATGAATCAATGTAAAAATATAGCAGCTTAAAGATGCTATCCCACATATTTCTTTGTTCTATGTTTGTTAATATGCTTTATCAAGGATATGCAGTTCACTTTTCCTCCTTTTATTTGTATATCTATTAATACCAAATAAATATGTAATGTGAACTCTCTAAAGGAGAAGCCTTCATGGTAAAAAAAAATATAGTCATGAGGAAGTTTAGAATATACGGAATCTGCTTTTTTAAATCAGAAAAATGGCTTATCACACATGAGAGAGTTATCATCTTGTGTTCTAGAATTAGAATGCAGACTATAATCTCAGAGATCATGGCAAAAAATATATTATTTTATGAAATTGATTAATGATTAAATTTCATTGAAAAGTTAAATCTGTAATGATTATGCAACACCACTACAGTCCTCTAGGCAGTTAATGATAAATAGTCATCATTTTCAGTCATTTTTGATAACATTGATCTGATTGGCTGTTATTTATAGGAACTATCTTTATTGACCAATTGAAACCTGTTTTGATTTGTCATCTGAATTCATGTCATTAAACAGCAGACGGATAGAAAAATATAGCAGTTCTCATTATCTAAGTGAAATGAATGGAGTTTGATGTTTGACTTTACTGCCTCTAATTGAACTATACTTGACGGACAACCCCATGTAGTGTGCATTGAGGGAAATTTCAACTATCAAAAGGGATACAGTTATAATCTAAATATTTGCTTTCTTAGTTTATAGGACCTATCCATGCAAATGACTTTTCTTATATCCCAGATCTACTTTGTCAATAATCAGAGAAAAAAAACACTGCAGCAAAAATTCAGGGCACTATACAATGTTTTCCATGCATATTACTGATATACGCCATCAGTAAAAATGTAGAGTGAGTCACCATTATTACAGATGAAATTTTTTAATCTTTTGCTAACTAACTCAGTGAGTGAAAATCCAATTGAATATTGACTAAATAAATAAATGAATAAATGAACAAGTGAATCAATAAATAACAAAACCACTATTAGAATAAATATGTCTGACTTCGTACAACAATGTTTATATCCATCGACCCCACCCTTTATTGATTCATTCGCATAGCACGAGCTACGTTCGCAATTCAATATTCTAATCAGGATGATTGTATTGTTGATCGTTTTTAGATTATCTGCAACGAATACACACAAAATTTTTTATAAATATTACACTATTCACATATGATACCACTAAATCAAAATGGCCGTTGTTAGCAACCCAAATAAAAAATTTGCTATTATTTTGCGTATAACAGATGAATTTTTTCATTTACATAACAAACTTTTGCATCAGATTTTCTAGACAAAACAAAATTAAGAAAATTTTTACCTAGAAAAGACATATAGCATGCATATGTTGCCAAAATGCAAAATTTTGTCAAATGAGTAATCTGATACTCAATATTCACGACAACGAACTTTTACCATTAAAATGTACATTAACGATACATTTCAAATATTGAAACACAGAGGGCAAATATTTGTCAAACTTTTCCTTTAAATAATATGTATAATTCTAACAAATAATTAATACATATCAAAACAACAAAACATTTCAGGTTTTTTCAAGCAAAATGACAAACTTTGGTAAAATTTCTAAATTATTTAATCAAATTTCCAAACACAAAATTTCAAAGTTTTCCTCAAAATCTAAATATCATGATCACAAAAAGATAAAATTTTACCTGTGTAACACACATGATGTAGATAGGTCGTTAATATTCAACTAATGATCTAAAATTTGAAACGACTGTTGTATATGAATCAGGTAGAGAATGATGTAAGGAGATCGGAATGCAGGTGACTACATACTAATCAATACCGACTATATTACCAATCAATATCTCTATAGTTACTTATACTTCAACATAATATACTGTTATTGTTTACCTACTACAAAATATTAATGTCCACATTGGAATGTGACGCATGCAGAAATGAAATGAATGGAGTTTTTCATCCTACTTCAACACTTATTTGGCTTATGAAGACATGAGGTCAAGCAGAGTACAATAAGGGAAATTTTTCCAGAACAGCAGAATTAGCCTACTTTTTTTTTATTTCCAGTTGTGTAGGGATCACAGTGACGCATGCAGAACAGTGCATGCTAATCCTTGTTGATGTTACTAAGCAATAGTTTTGTCAATTCTTCATCACTTTTTAAACATTCCATTAAGCTGATCAACTTTTGTCCTATTTTCAGTACAAAGGTGAAACAAAAGTTTCCAATTTTTGTTGAGTTAACTATGGCAGATACCAAAACAATTAACAATAAAGACAAGAGGTTTTCTAAATTCTGTATGTGTATCAGGGACAATGATAGCATCAATGTGCACCATTGCAATTTTCAATCAGACGTCTGTAGTTCTAGCAATTCTACTAAAACAAATAGTTTATGACATCACTCCGCAAAGATCTTATGTGATATAACGAAATTTTGCCGGGGTGATGTAATAAAACACTTAGTTATAGTGGAATTGCAGGAACCACAGATGTAAACAATCTGACCCAGGATAAGCAACAATCTGACCCAGGATAAGCAACAACCTGACCCGGGATAAGCAACAACCTGACACGGGATAAGCAACAACCTGACCCGGGATAAGCAGCAACCTGACCCAGGATAAGCAACAGCTGACCTAGGATAAGCAACAACCTGACCCAGAATAAGCAACAATGACCCAGGATAAGCAAAAATCTGACCCAGGATAAGCAGCAATCTGACCCAAGATAAGCAGCAATCTGACCCAAGATAAGCAACAATCTGACCCAGGATAAGCAGCAATCTGACCTAGGATAAGCAACAATCTGACCCAGAACAAGCAGCAATCTGACCCAAGATAAGCAACAGCTGACCCAGGATAAGCAACAACCTGACCCAAGATAAGCAACAGCTGACCCAGGATAAGCAGCAACCTGACCCAGGGTAAGCAACAGCTGACCCAGAATAAGCAACAATCTGACCCAAGATAAGCAACAATCTGACCCAGGATAAGCAACAACCTGACCTGGGATAAGCAACAATCTGACCTAGGATAAGCAGCAATCTGACCCAAGATAAGCAGAAATCTGACCCAAGATAAGCAACAACCTGACCTAGGATAAGCAACAATCTGACCCAGAACAAGCAGCAATCTGACCCAAGATAAGCAACAACCTGACCCAGGATAAGCAACAACCTGACCAAGGATAAGCAACAATCTGACCCAGGATTAGGATTAGAAATAAGTAGATCCAGAATAAGCAATAAACAGATTCAGGATTAGCATTAAATAGATCCAGAATAAGCAAAAGACTGATCTAGGATTTACAATAACTAATCCAGGATTAGAAATAAACTGATCCCAAATAGAAATTCATATCAGCAGGTTGGCAATAAACTAAATTAACAAACACACACTATCAATATAACATGTTATGTAACTTTATCAATTTTACACCACTCTATATTTATCATTCTTTAATTAATCATATTTAATTACTAGCATAAGATTTTCAATAACGTCCATAAATTATATATGTGATGATACATTACTTATTAAACAGAAAATCTGACTTCTGGTCATCCAACAATTTAATAAGAAGACAAAACAGTATAAGATACTTGGCCATTATAATCATTTTTTGCTTCACACAGATATTGTGACACTAATAATAAGTACACATGAAATTTTTGGTACATTTTTCTTAAATTGTAGAAAAATCTGGCCCCTGTTCCTCAAAAATTTTACGACAAGAATTGGTCCCATTTAGGGCAAAAGGTCACAATTTTGGGTGGTGCTCCAATCCAAATTCAATCCCTAGTATTTGAGAATTTTCACTATGACAAAAGCAAAATTTGGCATAACCTTTGGTATCAATACAAAACTGAACCATTAATGAGTCTATCAAGACATTACTGGATAGTCAAATTTTGCTTTTGTCTGGTGAAAATTTTCAAAAACTAGTAAACCGACTTTGGATGGCAGCAATATGTGACCTTTTTTGTCTGTCTTTTAACATACCAATATCCCATCCGTGTATCACGTCCCATGAACTGTAAGTGTGAAATTTTTGCATATGGAAATAATGCACTCATGCGGAAATTTATCGTAAGATCTTTTGAGGAACATGGCTAAGACTTAAAGTGATTGTAAAGAGGATTTCTAAATTTGTTATGCTTAACATGGTCACTGATATCATCAATTTACACCATTCCAATTTTCAATCAGATGTCTGTGTCTGCAAATTGAAGCTATCAGTGTTACTGATACACATACAAAATTTAGAAAAACCTTTTTACAATCCTTTTCAGATTTTCCATCTAAAAAGTGCTTGGTTAGCTTAATCCAAGCTTTATCAGCAGGAAAAGCAGATATTCCAATATACCTTTGAGGTAAATAAGTGGGTTAGTACCTTTAAACAAAAATATAAAAAAAAAATCATGGCATAAGAAGTGGTAGCACTCACCTGACAATCTGTTTTGCTATTAGTATCTGGTTTAGTAATCATAGTTGATTGTAGTTTAACGGTATTACTACTAGTTAATAGATTATCATTACTACCTTGTTCTATATGATATTCTGGTGAATGTGAATCACTGTTAAGGAATTAAACATGTTCAACTGTAAACTCATATCAATAATAAATCAAACTAAGATTTATTCAATATATCCAAACAGCTGGTAGAGCAAGCCTCCATATTGAAACAAAAATGGCTTCTTGATCCAATGGAACCCTAAATTCCTTTGTTGAAGAAAAAAAATAAGGGATATTCAAGCAGTGTTGATAAAAATTATTTCCAATATCTGGTATTTTTCGTTAGTCATATAATGATGTCATTTTTACTTTTCATTGTGTTCACAAAAATATCTGAACAGCTGGTAGATCCAATGTTTGTTTTGTTTCATTGGAATCCCAAATTTCAAAATTGTGTTGCATTATAAATGTTAGAGCTTCTTCCACATAGTTCACAATACATGTACATAGTTAATATAATGATGTCATGTTTACTTTTCATTGCGTTCACCAAAGCATATGTGAACAACTGATTGATCAGCTAAAAATTTCTGAATATGTTTATTTTTTTTCATTGGAATCCAAAATTTCAAAATTGTGTTGCAGAATAAAGGTTATAAGGTCAATGCAAATAGTTAGTCATATAATGATGTCATGTTTACGTTTGTTTGTATGTTCACAGCTGGTAGATCTACTAGCTTTTAGCTTGAATTATTTCCTCAATCCAATGGAACCTAATTTTTTTTTTCTAGGATGTTGCAGGATGAATTCAAGGTTACTATTTATAGCGTTGTCCAAATGTCATATACATGTCATGTAATGATGTCATCTTTACTATTCTATGGTTTCTTAATAAAATACAAGACAAGAACTATAGTCCACTGTATAAACATGTTAATTTTGACATATTTCTGGTCATAAACCAATGCATAATAAGACAATGACAAATCAAAATGTCTTGAGTTATTAAATCAAGCATGAACATTTTTTTTCTTTTTAGTGACATTTTGGTTAAAAGATAGAAATTTTAAAGGGATTGTAAAGAAGTTTTCTGAATTTTTTATGTGTATCAGGCAGACCAATAGCATCAATTTGCACCATTCCAATTTTCAACCAGATGTCTATGGTTCCTGCAATTTCACTAAAACTGATGTCACTAATCGCAAAGGCCTTATAATATACAAGCATAATTCAGGATTAGTGACATCATTACGTAGTTTTAGTGGATTTGCAGGAACCACAGATGTCTGATTGAAAATTGGAATGGTGCAAATTGATGCTATCAATGTTCCTGATACACATAAAAAATTTAGAAAACCTCTTTACAATCCCTTTAATGTGTCCTAAATATTGCAGAAAAATCTAATATTTACCAATTTTCATTATAGAAGGCAGGAAAAGCACATCAAGAACCATCAAGTAAACAAGATGAACTTTTAAAGAAGACATACCAGGAGGGGTGGAGGGAGGAATGGAGAGGAATCTACTTAAACCATTTATAATGTATTTTGTGGAGTGCAGGTTCAGCAAGGTTAAAGATATACTCACAAAGAAACGTGAATGGTTGAAGATAACTGGTGATCTACGACAGATATTGAATGAAAACACATAAACAAAATCATGAAAGAATATTCGGCCCAAGGGTCATATTGAACTATCTCAATATATGGAATATGATTTCATATCCATTCATGGTTATTGTTGAATACATTTTGCACGTGAAATATGTTTCAAAACAGCTGATTTATTTTGGGGATGAATAAATTTGAAAGAACTCGTTCGGAGAGGAATTCCCTCAGTGAGGTTGAGTAGCACTGGACGCATAAGACTGGATGTTATAAATTTGCATGAAGCTATAAGCGTCTTGAAAAAAGGATATCATAACCAAGGCGTACTGTATCCATATGATTTAATGTAACATATTCTTGTTCTGGTATTCTACACTGGTTTACATATGTCTGAAAAATATAATAAGCCATTATTTAAAAACATAAATAACAACAAATTCACATGGACAGACAAGGTTAAAATATGGTATATTTCCAAGCGAAAATCAACAAAATTTAGGACACAATATAATGTCTACACTTAATAATGGATTTCTATTTCAAAATAATTTTCAATAATTTCATTTAGTATATTCAAGTAAGAGTATATGTGTTGATTTATTTTGAATTCACCATATATATAATACAGTTAAAACTGAATTTGATAGTTAAAAAGTGTTCAAAATATTATTTCTCTTAAACCAAAATTTACTCCAGTATATTAAAGGGACAGATGCGCCAATTTGGGGGGTTGATTTTAGTTTTGAATATATATAAATAGTCTTCAGAAGTACTAGAAATGTACGAAAAACGCATTATTCCTTCAAAAGTACCTCAAACAAGGAATTTTACTCAATATTTCTATATGTGTCTTTTCTATATATCACAGAGTATCTTAAATTGACAAGTCGTCATTTTAACATTCAAATTCTAGACACAAATGGATATGAAGGTTGAAATTTCGACGGTGAGCTGTGAACACTATTACTGATTAGCTTAGATAAAAAATTCACGTTTCTGGAACTAAAAGATTGGTCAAAAAGAATGGTGAAGCTGTCCCTTTAAAACATAATTAGGCATTGATCATAATTCCTATTTCTATAAAGCAGAATATTGCAGCAGATCTCAAAAAAATATTCAAGGCTACACAAGTTAAATATAATCTATGGTTCACTTACCTTATTGGTTGTACTTAAATCCTTAATTTTAAATCTTTCTAAATAATGATCAAATGTTATTACAGCATGTCTTTTATCAACTGTATCAACCTGAAATTAGAAGCATCAAAATATTTAAAGTATATTGTCTGAAAATTGCAGAGTAAAAATCTGAGAAGCAACATGTTTCAGGTTCTGTTTTATGTTTTCTTTAATTGCTCTACGGGGAGCAACCTGAAGATCGAGAGTTCAATCCTGGCATAGGTCAAGATAATACCTTCGGATTGTTTAACCTGGTTTCCCACTGTCAGTGATGCAGGTAAGAGGGGCTGACATGGAAAAAACGTCAAGTCGTACGGAGGGGACAGGCCTCGTGTGCTACAGGCTGTGCATGTTTAAGATTCCTTGACAGTTGGAAATCAAAAAGAGCAGGCTTACGCAGTTGTCATGTCATGTCAACTCTCATTGCACCCTGCATGGCGTTGCCTGTCTTCATTAGCCCACATGGTGCAGAACCGTTCATTTTTTAATTGCTATACAATTGATGTATGTCTTAATCTGACAAAGAGTTTAGAACAATCAGTTGAATATTCCATGCAAATCCATCAAATCCGTTGTTACAAGTGTAAGCTTACTTAAAATATAAATTTTTTTTTTGACTTTTGTAAGGTCTCCTTGAAATCTGAATAGTTTTTAAAGGATCACACCCTTTGCGAGGTAAATTAAGATATCACAGTCGGATGCCCCTTATATTTTCACCATTACATATCACTTCGCTTGGATGAGTTCATACTATGAGGAGCTACTCATAACAAGTACCTTATATTTTTTTTTTTAAAGAATGTGCAAGATATGCATTGAAAGAGATAAGCTTTTTTGATTCAGAATATAACACCTGGTTTTTCTGCAATTCATATATATACCACACACATGAATTTAAAACTGCAGATGAAGATGTAATTAACAGCCTAAACTTCAACTATACTATTTTCCTTAAATTTCACTAAAACTGTATATAAGATTTCATTTCTTATAAGTGCTACAGATAGCTGAAATTTAACTTAATCAGCTTCTTAAAGTGATACTACGTCTTAGAATGAACATAAAATTTAAGTTCTCAAGAATGGTCAATATGAGTATATATTCATCAGTGAACTTACCTGGTGTCATAAAGTTACAATAGAATCCCTGTAAAATCTGGAAAATTTATAAAACTAAGTAATTATTGAAAAACGCTTAATCTTAATATTACGTATTTTTCATTAGTTTATTGTTAATAATTACTAAGTTTTTTAGATTTATCAGATTATATAAGGATCCTGTTATGTTATTTATGACACCAGGTATATCTACTGATGAATATATGCTCTTATTGGCCAAGTTCTTAAATTCTTAAATTTTATGTTCATTCTAAGACGTAGTATCACTTTAAAAGCCTAAATTTCAACTCTATACTATTTTCCTTAAATTGCAAGAAAACTGAATATAAGATTTCATTTCTTATAAGTGATACAGATAGCTGAAATTTAACTTAATCAGCTTCTTAAACAACTCTTATATACATTTTTTCATAATCACACAGAGATTAATTTCATCTTGACGAGTTCAAAGCGTACTTAATTAATCGCTAGGAAGAGAAGGTAAAGAATTGAGCAATCCACCAATCTTATATTTCATTGTCAATGACAAGACGGTCAAATAAAAGATTTTTAATCAACCTGAAACTTGGATATTAGATCTCACTTTTTCACATATAAAAAAAATAATGAGTCCATTATAGTTAAATAGGCTAGAGATATCACACAGTAGTATAATTGGTTTCAAATATACATTTCTAGCATTTCAAATATTTGACTTTTCTATCTCTTTTTTTAGAGAGATGAAGGAAGATTGTTTAGAAATTTCAATGTAAATAACATTGGTATATATATACTGAACTGGTATTTTGTCTTTCAGATATTCCCTTCAAGTAACTTTCATTGGCAAGGGAATGTAGCATTTCTGCATTGGCAGGGTGGGCCAAACTTTTCCCCCACCCCCAGCTTCATATTCTTTATCACTGAGCGTTTAAATGTCTGGACCTGTTAGCCCCGCTTAACAATTCTGTAGCCCTACTTGGACCCCCCTCCCCCCTCCAGGCAATGATTCAAAACAGCAATGGCAGGGGATTCATCCAAAATAATTGGCAGAAGTGGTTCTGAATTTGTTATAGCTTTCAAATACAGAACTCGTTTTATAAATGGACTAATTGAATAATAAATAGGTAATTGTAGCATGAAAGGGTGTTATTGGCCCAATGTGATCTCTTTTTGGATCTTCTTTGTGCTCTATCTTTATATGTCTAACAGTGAACCTGTTCCTAGCTCAATGAACTTTGGCTCATAAAGGATTTTTTACTACTCCTTTCACAGGTGTCTCAAACCATAGATATTAGTTCTTTTGAACTTAATACAGATATGATATATGTAAGTTTTTTAAGGGATTCTAAGTGCACTTTGCACTTATTGTTGTGGAATATATGTGTAAGCTTATCTATCCTTTAAAATTCATTCTGGGACAAATAGATCTCTTGAGAGAATTTAACTAACTTGATAATTGTTCAGCACCAAATTGGAAATGTTCAATCATTTTCACCTTTTTCTAACCAAGGCTTTGGTGCTTTGACTAACGCAGAAATCACATGGAAAGAACTTGATTTTAAAATGTTCTGGGTCATAAAAAATCAAACTGTCCTTGTGGATAGAAAACATTATTTTGACACATTTTAAGCCTTTAGAATTTTAGAAAATTTGGGATCGAAATTGATTCGCTACTCTTAAGGGCTTGTTTTTCTCAAAATGGAAGTCTAGACCTGGTTACTATCCAATCTAAGCCTCACACCACTGAAAATGAAATTAATTTTCTCTATGTATCGTACATGCCTGAATTACTTCCAGACTTCCATTTTGGATTCCTATCTTGAAGATTCAGCCCAATAGGATGCAAAAAAAGTATAATAAAAACATTATACATAAGCATTGAAGAAGTCTAACATACTGGGCCACTGTCATTTAAGACACACAAGGGAGGGTTAACTCCCTAAATCATTGTCATTAAAAAGACAAACCAAAAGGGTTAATACAGACTTAGTATCATATTCAAATATCATTTCAACAAGTATTGACAGTATACCATGATAAACAAAGTCAACAAGTATTGTAGACCTACCTTAATCCTAATTTTAAATCCTTTAAGCTTTCAGGTAAAACTAATCCGTCAAGAAACCTCTGACTTCAACACTAGCTAAATCATACAAAACTTTCAGTATATGACATACACTATAGTAAACATTTTGGTCCAACTCTTGAAGTTTAGAGCTTGACAATTTAGGCGTGTAGGTATATTTAAATGTATAAAAGGAAACAAGTCATTGAGTTTTTGTGTATATACCTACTAAGTAACTAGTAAATAGGTCAGTCCACTCACCTGTCAAGTCCTATACTCATCACTGAAAAGATCTAGCTATTCAATAGGTCTTCCCACAGACATTAAGATATGTCAATTATAATAAGCTGATTTTGATAAGTATATAGACAGACAATATTGACAGTATTAGCAAGGAATACACAATTATGTAAGTTGACTATCAAATAACTTTTCTTCAAGTCTGATCCTTTTTTTTTCTTAAACTTTCCTGTTTTCACTAAGAAATTTTCCATTTACAGCAGGTGTAGTGTATTTTTACTTAATTAGACATCATGAGCTTAAGGTGCCCACACACCATAGCGATATTACCAGATGTGGATGGTTGCGAATAATCAAAATTATTTATGTAATTCTCATGCAACTGAATGGTGAGTTCCGAAAGCAACTCACCATTCAGTTGCATGTGAGTTACATTTAAAATTCATTTTTTTGTTTGTTTGCAACCATGAAACTGGTGATCACTATGATGTGAAAGCCACATTAAACTTATTCAACTTTCTGAACAATATTTAAGAATTTTTCATCATTGATGTGCTAGAAAACTGGATCGGAAATGCTTTTATGTAGTCTCAAATTTTAGCTGCTGGTTTATGTCATTAAGTTTCAACATCACTACCTGTTATGCTGCAGACACATATTTTAGATAAGCTTAAAAGTTTTGGAAATGTTGTTAATTGAAAATTCAGTAATGCATAAGTAAAGCAAACTTACAAAAAAGGGGCCAAAAAGTAAAGAAAAAATCATGAAATTTGTTAGTTTTGACGTGAGGGGTAAGCTTATATTAAGCTTATAACACCCATGTTATCATTTGATACAGATGAGTGAGCGTTAAGAGGGAAATATACCTTGTGTCTATGAGAAATATTTTTTACTTTAAAAGAGGAAAAGGAATTTGCTCAATTACATTAATCTAGTTTGCAAAAATCTTTATTTATATGAAATACCATGATAGAATTACTAATTTCAAATTATGTGCATTAATAAGCTACTGTAAAGCCTGTACCCTAAAATCAAACAATCTTATCTGAAAATGCAGACACAAAAACAAACACTACTTGTCAAACATCTGAGGGATAGAATTGCACACAAACTCTTGTCTTTATCACATCAACAAGCTCAGGTGGATTCATTTTCACTGGCTCAAGTGGATTTATTTTATTAACTAGCTCATGTAGATTCATTTTCACAAGTTCAAGTGGATTCATTTTCACTAGCTCATGTGGATATATTTTTACTAGCTCATGTGGATTCATTTTTACTAGTTCATGTGAATTTATTTTATTAACTAGCTCATGTGGATTCATTTTTACTAGGATTACAAACTCATACAAATTCATTTTCACTAGCTCAAGTGGATTCATTTTCACTAGCTCAAGTGGATTCATTTTCACTAGCTCATGTGGATTAATTTTTACTGGTTCATGTGGATTAATTTTACTGGTTCAAGTGGATTCATATTTACTATCTCAAGTGAATTCATTTTCACTAGCTTATGTGGATTCATTTTTTCTAGCTCATGTGGATTCATTTTTACTAGCTCAGAGCTCACAAGAACATAGAAAGTTTCAGCAAGATCTAATGAAAGTGTAGCTCCAATCACAGACAGACAGGTGGACAGACCGACAGACATTGGTTACATAAATCATGTACATTTCAAAGTTGAGTGTTTAAGTCATCAGCAATGAGAAGATGAGTTAGGTGCATCAAAGGTTAATTGTTCTTCAACTCTTATGCCTTTGATAAATCAATCTGATGCTTACCTTGACTAGAACATCACATGCTTCTCTACCTATAAATAACATAGTCCGAGGCAGACGGAATCGTTTTCCACTAACATCAACAAAATACCAATCATCTGGTCGCACATTGTCTTCACCTTCCTAAAAAAAATGGACGTCAAATTATCAGCATTATTAATCTACTACTGGTACCTAATAAACCAGTTGACAAGCCCAATCACTGACATACCAAGTTGACAAACCAAATCACATTGGCATCAGGTGTTTTGGTTGAGTCAGCATGACCTGTCTTTCTAGAGAAAGAGCAAGTTATATGGCTTGAATAAAAAGAGCATAATTTAACAAATAAGTTGAAAAATGACCTTAAAGGCAGTTTTATCCACTAATGAACTGCTCAACGATCTGCTCAAACAAAATCTCTATTAGTTTTAATAAGTCAAGTCAAAATTGAAATTTAAACACAGCTGTTACCTGGCCATGACCAATATGATAACAATCCAGAATACATATTGTGCTCAAGATTCAAACACTGTGAACAAAACAATACAAGATTCATTGGATTCTATACCAAATTACAGTCAAAAAATATGCATTTTATAAGTCTCTCAAAATGTGACGTTTCTTCTTTTTTCAAAAGGCCATTTTGATGTATTTTAAGTGAGATAATTCAAATGCAATTCCCCGATGCAGACCAAGATTCATCAAAATTAGATCAAAACTATAGTGTCTAGTACTATATGTTGCATTCTTAGATTATCAATCAAGGTACTTTATTTCTTAGTCACTGTCTGCCATTAAGTTGAAATAACCAAGTCAAGTAGACCTTGAAATATGAGATCAAATCACTTACAGTACAGTAACTGTAGTATTACAAAAATATTGTTTTATCTTTACTTAAAGTGACAGATGTGCCATTTTAGGGGGTTGATTTTAGTCTTGAATATAAATAGTCTTCAGAAGTACTAGAAATGTTAGAAAATCGCATAATTCCTTTCCAGTCCCTTGAAAGGTATTTGAAATGACTCACATGTCATCCAATTTTTTCCTCTTCATTAACCAAAATATAAATCTATCACTATCATTGATATGCCATGCTAATCCAAGTCGAAATTGATACACTTAAAACCAACATTGGTGCAACCGTCACTGATTTATAATCTACATTTCACCCTCCAGGACATACGTATCAATGTTACACATACAAAACAGAAAACCTCATTTGAATCTATTTCATTGTACACGTCTTAACTTATTATCATACATGTACATGTATACAAATTATCTACCCAAGCTTCCTCCCTGTCACTGTAAGTGATGCAGGTTGAGGGGTTAACATAGAAAAAGTGTTTAGTCGATCAAAATAATTCGGATGGGACAATAAACGTAGGCTGTACACATTGAAGATCCCTTGACAGTTGGAAATCAGTTGGTGTTGTCCTGACTCAATTTCCCTCATTGAACACTGATGGCAATGTCAGTCATTGTTTTGTGCAGAATACTAGGATTTCATACTTTTCATTATTTATTCTTTAAAGTAGCATACTCGAGATGAAAGACTTTTTTTAAGATGAGAACGTCTTATGTAAGAATTTATTGATTCCTGCATTACTTATTTAAAGTTCCGAGTTTGAACATAGATTGTACATTGTGAAAATTCACATGTTTTAGTAACATAATATGGCAATATCATTACTCTTAATATAAAAGGGATCTCGTTCTACTGGTATTACAAAAATGCAATGGTGTAATCCACCAGCTTTACAAGTTCACCATGTCATGTCATTCTTTTCCCTGTCATTATGTCATAGACACCCACGCTTGAGTTTTAAGGGAGTCTGCTATTTTTTAGTCAGTTCCCTAAAGATTGATATGCAGCAGATGCCATATATTACTGGTTGTGTCTCATATGACCTGACTCATATGTCAAAAGATTAAAGGAAAGCATTACTCAACTGCCACTGCCGAGCTGGCACTTGGCTTTTCAATAGAAAGATAGGCTAGCAGTAGCAGACAGAGGTTAGAATAACAGACACCAAGCCCAACTTTCAGGCACAAGTCCTTAGCTGTCTTGTCTGTAATTTTGACTGAAAGAGTACTTACCTCTTCCATTGTCTACTATCCACAAGATGTTGTCAATTTTGACAAATTTCCGTTGAATAGTGTATAAATATGATAATATAATTGATAATTCTGTCACTCCTTGCAATAATACCCTAAGCCCCGCCCACGTTCGTTCGTTCGACGAATATCAACTCGACACTAGACTCGAGTTATCAAGGACAGATATATGTTTGTTCTTTTCATATCGCTTGAATTTCGATGTTTATGTCGACTATAAGAAATTATATTTTCTTGGAGACAATAAAAGAATCAATTGTTTAGATGACAAACTATTCTGACAAAAAACTAAATTTTGAAGAACAAGATCCGAGTCTACTAGGTATAGATAACCATTCATCATCTCGAACGTTTATAATTTGGTTTTGTGAATTGCGCATGTGTCGTTTCAAGTGTAAACTTCCTGTATAAAATAATAATAAAGTGCCGAATGTTCAATGCCTTGGATTTTTATTAGAAACGTTATTTTGAATGATTCAGGATGTATAGTTTTGAGGAATATAACGAAGACTTCCAAAGGAAAAATCCCCATAGGTCGCTCAGAGGTAGGTTCTGTAGATCTTCAACAATGCTCCTCCAAAAAACCCTATTTTTCCCTGATATTTTGTTGCATGCATGGACAAGTTTCTCTGACTCTAATCGAAAAGAATAGTGCAACATCAACCTCCAATAGGCCTAATGTCATTGTCCCTGAAGTGCCCTTTGGACCTCTCTTAAAGCAGTTTTTCATGGTACAATCTTGTTCGCACAAAGCATAATTTTCCGTTGCAAGCACTCATCGAATTTTGATTTCTACTGACACTGTCATCGAAGATTGATATGATCAGGGTTTTGATGTCCTTGCCCATGACCCACAAAATGGTGTCATTCAATAAAGCCCTTCTTTTAATATAGCCTTTATATCAATTAATTCAAATTTTTCCACAATAAGCTTATGTATTATTTCCTCTGACATATTTCAGATGACTGAAAATGGTGAAAATTGATACTATAAGTGTCCCTATAATCTCTTTACAATCCTTTTAAACTTTTAAAATTCATACATTTCATACAGAGCAAATGAAAGAATGGATTTGTTAGTATTCCCTAGAAAAAAAATTAATCTATTTCAAATTTCAGATAGAGCTAATGAAAGTATTGAAGTTTTAAAGCATTCGTTAACTGGTCCACCTGCTCAATTTTCTACCTCACCACCTTTACATCATACCAGAAATCAGTCACCAGATAGAAACAAAACTCACTTGATCAAAACAGTTCACCCTAGAACATTAAAATGGAATGATATTAATAATAGTCCTGTCAAACCATCTAGTGCTGCTGAACAACTAAGAAAAATTCTACATGGAAAAGATCTATCATATCAGGTAGTTTTTTTTTTTGTTATGTTTTATTCTCTTGTCATTACATCTGATGACGACACGTGTATATTGTGTTGAAACGTTATTAACCTTATTAAAGAAGTGTGTTATAGTCCATAATATCATCTTGTGTTTTGTTATATAAGTTAGTTAACTGTTTCTATTTTAGATCAATGAAGATGTTAAAAAGGCTCCTGTGGGTCACCTACCTACACCAGAAGAAGCGGCC